CATCAAAATAACCACCATATCCATCCCAGCAGTTAACTCATTTGAACATCTTGTCTTCAAACTCTCTGGTCTGACTCCCCTTCGTCTCTGCCATCACACCTCCTTCCTGTCTGATTTTTCTATTTTTTTTTAACCCGGCTCTGCACCATCTCACCTTCTGTTCTCCTCCTCTGCTATTTCAATCTCCACATCGATAATACTGTCTGCAAATCTGCCATTGAATTTCTGGATCTTCTACATTGCTTCAATTTGACACAACATGTTAACTTCCCCACTCACTCACATGGACACATCCTGGATCTGGTCTGCTCAACTGCTCTAACATTACACCACCTCTCCAGCATCAACCTCCATATCTCTGACCACCTGGCAATCACTATGGACATTAATATCCCCATCCCCACTCCTAAAGTAAAACGCACAATATCCTTCAGAAATCTCAAATCCATCACTCCCTCAGCTCTCTCAGCCTCACTCACCAGCATAATATCTACCTCCCCTCCCCCATTCTCCAACGACCCCACTGACCTTGTCCACTATTATAACACCACCCTCTCCTCCTGCCTAAATCAGTTGGCCCCCATCAAAACTAAAATCATCTTCTTCACTGACTCTGCCCCTGGTACACCCCTGAGCTCCACGCCATGAAATCTCGAAAGCGTCAGCTGGAAAGACTCAACGAAAAGACTAGCCCAACAGTTCAACTTCAAGCCTACACAGACCACCTGCTACACTACAAGAACGCCCTCAACACAACCCGGTCCAACTACTACTCTCATCTCATACACTCTCGCTCCAACAACCCCAAAACTCTTTTCTCCACAATAAACAAACTTCTCAAACCCATCAACAACACCTCCACATCCTTCACAGTCGACAAGTGCAACTAATTCTTGTCATTCTTCCAAACAAAAATCAACACCATCTACAGCAACCTGATGACCTCCTCTCCTTTCCTGACCCCTCCACCTGCTCTTCCCCCCACCTCCGTCCCGCCACTGTCACACTTCCCCCCACTGACTCCTCTGGACCTCACAAAAGCCACTACAGGTATGAGTAACTCTACATCAGTTCACAACCCAATCCCTTCCTCACTTTTTAAGTCCTGTCTCCCTTCTATCTCCCCACTCATCTCCAGAATTAGCAATGCATCCCTCAGCTCCCGCTCAGTCCCAGATCCTTTGAAACTCGCCGCTGTCACCCCCATCCTCAAAAAACCCGGACTCAATCCCGACATCATGACCAACTTCTGGCCCATCTCCAACTGTCCCTTTCTGTCAAAAATCCTGGAGTGTGTTGTTGCCACTCACAGCAAAACCCACCTCACCTCCAATGACTTATTTGAGACATTTAAATCCGGATTCCAGTCACAACACAGAACTGAAACAGCTCTTCTCAAAGTCACCAACGACTTCCTCCTCTCCGCTGACTCTGGACACCTCAACATCCTCATCATGCTTGACCTCACTGCTGCGTTTGACACGATTAACCACTCCACCCTCCTCTCTCGTCTTAAAACCTGTTGCAACATCACTGGCATGGCTAACTCCTGGTTCAGATCATATCTCTCCAACAGACAGCAATTCATCCATATCAATAACTGCACCTCCTCTACCGCTCCTCTGTCCCAAGGCTTTCCTCAGTGTTCTTTGTTTGGTCCTTTCTTTTTCATCCTCTACATCCTCCTTCTTGGTAACATCATCCGCCGATATGGCCTCCATTTCCACTGCTATGCTGACGACGACCAGATCTACATCACCACCAAATCCATCACTACAGCAATCTGCTCCACACTTGAAAATTGCCTCACTGAAATAAAATCCTGGATGCAAACTAACTTTCTACAACTCAACTGTGACAAATCATACATGATCCTAATCGGCCCCAGTTCCCTTACTAAAACCATCCATAATTTCAGCCTTAATGTTACAAATTCTACACTTTCTCATCTCCACATCTACGCAACCTTGGAGTCACTTTTGACAACAACCTTTCATTTGAACCACATGTTAATCATATCACCAAAACCGCTTTCTTCCATCTAAAAAACATAGCTAGGCTCCGCCCTTCACTCACCTTCTCCACTGCAGAAACTCACGCATTCATAAAATCCAGACTCAATGACTGCAATAGCATTCTGTATGGTTCATCTTCTAAAGTCCTCAACAAACTACAATACATCCAGAATTCTGCTGCCCATCTCCAGTCCCGCTCCCGCGACCATATCAAGCCCGTCCTCCAGAACCTCCACTGGCTCCCAATTCCCCAACGCATTCAGTTCAAAGTCCTTCTCCTCACCTACAAAGCCCTCCATAACCAGGCCCCATCTTACCTCACTGACCTGTTGCACCATCACACCCCCTCCCGAAGTCTCCGCTCCTCTGATGCAAATCTCCTCTCTCTACCACACAGGACCAAGCACAAAACCTAGGGGGACAAAGCCTTCTCTATTGCTGCTCCCTCCTTCTGGAATTCTCTCCCCCAACACATCCGTAACTGTACAGACTTAAACTCCTTCAAATCTTTGGTCAAAACCCATGTGTTCAGGCTTGCATTCAATCCTGATTCCATCTCTTAACTGTGTTTTGCTGCTCTTATGTTGTTTTTATCTTGTTTTTTCTGTTTTGTAAAGAGTCTTTGAGTGTTTTGAAAAACGCTATACAAATAAAATGTATCATTATTATTATTATTGTTATTATTATTCATCATGAAAAAACATAATCACATAATGCAACAATCTAGACAGATCACATTTCGAGCATGAAATGTGCTTTTTATTTTTATAGTCTCTGTTCAGTAAATGTAAATAATCTTTAGTTGTTAATTATTATGAAGATTGTTTTAGGCCTTGCCAGAAAATAGTTGCAATGCAATGTTTTCTATTGTTACTATGGTCACTGTAATGTGAAGTTGTTGATTTCTAAGAACAGTACAAATGTGTGATTGCCTCAAATGAAGAGACTGCAAGCAACAGCTAAATGCCAAATCCATAAATTGCTTAGGTGCCGAGATTACGTGCAAATCCAGGCTACTAATTGCTGTACAAACAAAAGAGACTCTTCAACTATCTGAGCAGGAACGCTCTACGGTCTGAAGGAAGGAGCTCAGATTCCCTGTGCATGGGTGATCAGGAGAGTCCAATATGGCCTGGGCCTTCCTTAGGACCTGCTTATAGTAAAAGGTCAGAGAGCTGCAGCTGACTCACCCCCATAACTTTTCTGGCCACTTTGATAAACTGGCTAAGCCTATTCTTATTTGCCAGATTCAGGTTCCCAAACCATGCCACAATACAGAAGGACAGAATAGACTCAATGAAACATCTGTAGAACAGAGTCATCACTGTATTGCACACATTCAAATTGTTCATTTTCTCTACATTTGGTTGGAAGCTCAGCTACCAGTAGGATATACCCAGATACTTATGCTTTTTCAATTTTCCACCGGGCCTTTTGGGTAGAGCACTGACCTTCTAAAGTCAGTAAAGTCAATGATGATGTCCTTGGTTTTAGACACGTTCAACTCAAGAAAAGACTCACTACACGATAGATAGATAGATAGATAGATAGACAGATAGACAGATAGATTGATAGAAATGTAGATAGATATAGATGTAAAGGAAAAGATCTCCATGGCCTTATAATGAGTAAAAGCAGTTTGTAGTTATTTGTGACAGTCTGAAAGCTGCTACCCAACTGAAACACTTTAAACACATTTAGGTTGTTAAGCAGCAGACACGCTTGTTGGTGCAAACAGAATCAACAATCTTAAACTTAGAATGTGTAAAATGTGTAGAACCTGAAATCATAATACATTTGCTGTCAAATATTAGTAACAGTAAAGAACTATTCTGCATATTTTGCATAGTTGTGGAGTCCATTTTGAAATTAAGTATGACCTAACTAAAATTTGTCATTAAGGGTCTGACTGAAAAGTATCCAATTGTGTGAAACATTGTTATAACAATGTACACCATCAATCAGTTATCGGTTATTTGGCATTAACATGCATGGTGCTTAAGGTTAATAATCAAACCTTACATTTTAACATTGTACCTTTTTGTTACAGACAAGGGCATAGGATTCCTGTCAATACTGTGGGGGACATATATGAAACGGGTGATTTAGAGGTCCTCCATCAGAACATTTTGAGCATCAAACATGTTTTTTTCTATGGTTACAGAAAATGATCTAAGAATTCCACCAGGTATAAATGTTTGATCTCTTACTGTAAACTATTAGGTTTTCCTGACTTTTAAATTTCCCCATGAAGTGTCTTTGATTTTGAAAAAATAAATAAATAAAATAATATCCTGCGCCCAATAATTCGGTACAGGGTCGTGCCGAACCGAAAGTCGCGTACCAAACGGTTTGACACA